TTGTATGAATTAAATTCTTAATGATTTAATAAAAATTACATGTTTTTTTATTTCAAATTTAACTAAAGTTAATTACAAGGGACAAATTTCACCAACTATGGATCGCACAGGTGTTAAAATTACAAGTTTTTTTTTCAAATTTAAGTAAAGTTAATTACAAGGGTCGAATTTCACCAACCGTGCATCGCACGGGTGTTTTATTAGATCTGTCTTCTACAATAGTAGGACCTATTTGAACATTTCCCATAAAATTTTACTTCGTATTTAAGTAATGTTTAAGAATGACATAACACACTTTTACATATATTTGCACCCCCTGATTTGCCTGCTTACAAAGACAATTCGTCTAAATATGCAATTCGTATAAATGTAAGGTTATCCTATTACTTAGTCATTACTTAGTCATAAATGTAAGGTCACGCAATTCATGTTCAAAAATTTACCTTCACATAATATATACGAGTATAAACTTTTATTTTGAAAATGAGAACAATGTCACAATCATTCGTGCATCGCGCCGGCGAAACACATTTTTTGTAAATGATTCATTTAGAATTACAAGTTTATTCTTTATTTTAAATTTGACTAAAATTATTAAACATGTGAAAAATTCACCAGCCATGCATCGCACGGGTGTTCTATGGATAAGACTAAAATTACTATGGATATAATGTCATTGTCATTTGATGTGACAATTAAACATAAGCTATATGACTAAAGTTACCACCGTAGTCACCATAGTTCAGAGATCACATTTTTATATGCAAATCTTATTTTGGTCATGATCATGTAATTATTTCAAAAAGATTATATGCATAAAAGAATACCTAAATTTGTCCTCTACAAAAGTAGATGAATTATTTGAACATGTTCACATAAATTTATATTTACGCATAGTTTAAGAATGACTTAACATATTTTCACATATTTGCACACCCCCTGATTTGCCAGTTTACAAAAGCAATTCGTTTAACTAATGCAATTCGTCTAACCAATGCAATTCATATAGATATAAAGCCGCCCTATGACCTAATCATTATAAATAATTTTCCTTCATCATAACTAAAATTTCTAAACCTTTTAATATCGAAAAATTCTTTGCTGAAATTCTACTGGAAGAAAGGATTTTAATAAGGGTTAGTGCGAGACAAAATGTGTTAATTTCTCAAGCATTCATTAGCACCTCCACATATTAGCTTGCCATTCCAATGTGTTGTGTATTTTGGATGTAATAATACTCAAACATGACTTATCTTAGTTCTGACAGCGTGTCAAAGGTAGATTCTACGACTGATCTAATGGCAGAAACACACACTCATGAATTCCTAAATAGCATTAAATTGTCTGGTGTACAAAATCACAAATTGACATTAAAGGTTGGGACCCCAACCATGCTTCTCAGAAATATTGATCATTCCATGGGGTTGTGTAACGGTACTCGGCTCATTCTCACCATGCTTTGTGATCATGGTTTGGAGGGGAAAATTTTGACTGGTGTTAGTGCTGGACAGAAAGTGTTGATTCCTTGATTGTCCTTGACTCCCTCCGATGTCAACTTGCCTTTTAGATTTTAGAGGCGACAGTACCCCATTATGATTTCATATGCTATGACTATAAATAAAAGTCAAAGTCAATCATTGTCCCGTGTGGGTTTGATGTTGAGGAAACCCATGTTCACGCATGGACAACTCTATGTTGTAGTTTCAAGACTAACCAACATGCGTGGTTTTGAAAATTCTTATATGCAAATGATAGCGGCAAGATGTCGAATTCTATTCAAAATGTGGTTTATAAGGAAGTTTTCAATATCGTGTAATGTTGCATTCCGTTCCGTTTTTAACAAATGCCTATAGTTCATTTCTATGTTTAATATTTGCTGATCTTGAATTGTGTACTTTGTAACTCATCACCAAGCTTTTGTATTGTTGTGAATAAATCTTTTGTGTCGATTGTTTTGAAAACATTATGAAAGAAAAAAAAATGGGATAGAAATTCTCCGACCGTGCATCGCACGGGTGATTTACTAGTTATGTTAGTAGCAATTGGCCTGCATGTGGTGGGCTAGTGATTTTTCCCAAGTGTAAGAAACTTTGCCTTCTTGGTTAGGTGGCTAATACTTATTGGAGTTATTGGCTCCATGTCATTTCATATGTATTTCCATTTCAATTCACAAAAAATCGAATATCTGGTACTAGAAAATGAAAAGCAATGACAGAAATAACAAAAGCATAAATGAGTTGATAAAAAATGAGTTGATAATTAAACATGAAAGTTACGTAGTACTGGTAAGTAAAAAAGCTTGTTGAGATTGAGGTAATAATAATTGACATTATTTTTCCAAGCTTAATCGGCAGTATTGTACAATAATTGACATTCTTCAAACATACAAGTAGTACTACTATGTTTAATAATGTGCTAATTACTCATTAGTTTTACTGTTATTTAGGATATTTCTTCTGTTAAATTCAGTTAGACCCTTGCATATTTCATCTTTACACTTTGCTTGGTCACATGTCTCAAATTTTTGCAAATTAGTTTTTAAATTAAAATCACACCATTTGACTTTCCAAACACACTTATCACACCTATTGTAACTCTTTATAGTCCATAATGTAACATTGATACTTCTAGAAAGTGTTACATTAGATCTAAAAAGTGTTACATTAGAGAAATATGCAACACTTCCATATGTATGTGTATGTTTTAAGTTAGTTTTTGGTTGTTTGATACTTTGAAAATTACACATTTTTGGTGTAATAGTTATGTTTGTAAAATAGTTGTAATGTGTTTAGATTAGGTCTATTCTAAGCTAGAACAGGTCTAGGATCAATCAAATGATCATTGGTGAAACCAAAATCGGAAGCAAGGTGCAAGAATACAAGACAAAAAAGGAAAGTTCCTGATTTTAACCTGTACCCGGTCGGGTATACCCTATAACTGATCGGGTACCCACTTGACTTTCAATCAGATCAATTCAGGATACAAAGGGATGTGCAGGGGAAGATTTGGCCACGACTAGTTGTTATACCCGATCGGGTACACCGACATACCCGATCAGTTGTTATGCCTTTAATTCTGACCTTGAAATTGGTCTAGTATAGCTCGAATCCATCATTCTGCAAATACCCGGTCGGGTACCCTTTATATACTCGATCGGGTACACGAGCTGCTGACGCAAAAGCCTATAAATACACCCTCTTTCCTTCACAGTTAGACACCAATTCACATATACTTCTAAGCTCAATTTAGACAAGTTATTTCTTTATATTTTCATCATGTTTAGTCTCCAAATGAGGAGCTAAACTCTTCCATCTGGTTTTGCTACACTTTCAAGCTTAATGAATTGTAAATTGTGAGTTATTTTCTTTAATCTTCTTCCTTGAATATTAATTAATTTCTATTCATATTTCATATTAATATTTTGAGCATTACTTAAAGGATCAATTAGTTTTGTTTCATATATTAATTATTACTAGAATCGATCGACGAATACGCTTGTTAATCGTTCGGCCGTTTCACGGTAGTGAACTTGGGTTATTAATGCATGTGTCTCATGGTTAATAAACCAAGGGGAATTAATTATATTTATTAAACAAATAAACTGCTTGTGTTGAGGTTATCAATCTTAATCATTTTCATCTTGATTTTATTGCTATTATCTGATTAATATATGGTGCGTGTTCTATATTAACTCGGTAGTAAGTTTTATTAATGAACGCGTCTCGTTATTAATAACTACCCTCGATGAATTGGATATACTCCTCGATTGAATATTCGAGAGGAAGATCATTAAAGATACAATCGGGATCGACGAACATTTCATTACGTGGATAAATGCAAAACCAAGTCTTCTTCTCATTAATTAAACCACAGAAGTCGTTCATCTTAGTGTTTAAATATTCTTAAAGTTCCTCAACAACAAATCTAAAAAAACCCTTGTTACTAGTTATAAAAAGAGAAGTATTCCTTTCCCTGCGGATACGAACCTTACTTCGATATACTACGTATATTTGTTGTATTGATTATCATTTGGAGTTGTCGGAAATGTTGCCAGAAATTCAACCGGAGTTGGAGTCACCTAAGATGACGAGATGTTGTCGGAACCATTGTCTCCGCCTCTGTAAAAACATTGTGTGAATAAATTAAGTTGAAATTTTGTAAGCATCGATAAACATGACTCTGCAAATATGAAGTATATGTGTACAAACATTTTTTTTCCTGTATATAGACAATTGATATCTTTTTCTTTTGGAAAACATAAAACTAATATCTATATATACTGACAATAGTTTGCATGTAAATTACATTGATTTGCATGCTTTTTTTTGAAGAAGCGTCATCAGTGTTAGGTTGCACAGTAATCTATGTCTCTATACAGAGACATTACTTGTCATTTTACAGACCAAAAAGTATTTGTACTTATAAATTCTTTTGTCTGTGCACAGAAGCACTGATTTCTTTGCAATCTAAATATGATTTCTCTGTAGTATTTGTGTTTATGTACACAAGCATAGACTATATCGAGACATTTTTATTTGTGTTGAAATATTGTCATAATCAATCATATTCAATGTTCTAAAAATTGACGTAGTTGGTTGGTTAAAAAAAAAACAATTGACCTCGTTGGTTAGAAAACAGGCCTATTTGCCCAAAAATTTGGCCTAATTGACCAGAATTTTTGCCTAACTGGCCCCCTAGGTGCTAGGTGTCCATTAACCGTCCAACCAGGACCTAGCAAATTTTAGAACAATGATCATATCGTAGAATTTTTTACACAAAATGTACACAAATGATTTTGCTCTGCTTATGCGGCTTGTCCTATATTTGAGATATCATCTTACAACCATGTATATAATAGAGCGTCTTATGTTCATTGATATGCCCACAATAAAATTTATTTCTGGATCCGCCACTGCTTCTCTGGTGGTTTTTTCGGGGAAAAAATGATAATTTTATACACAAATATACTATTGTTAAAAGTTAACATAGTAAGGAATGGATGAAATATTAGTTACAGAATATTGAACTTAGATATGATGGAAGTTTGATATTGATAATAAAAAAACAATAGCCAATTGCATGTATGAAATTATGAATAAGCAAACTTGCAAAATTTATTGGAATGGAGATGCTAAACACTGCTACTTCGTATGTATTAATGTGGAAAGCAAAGTTGTGCTAGTATTATTGAAACGTCATCCATCTCTTTCAAACTTGTGGCCCTTATATTTTCACTCATTACTTTGACATTTCTCCGAATTTTTTCTGCAGTTTTTCCGAGAACAACTTCATCACAAGCTCGAGCTAGGTCTTCACCATGATACTTTCCAGATTCATCCCTCTCAACCTCGATTCCTACATAAATACTCACAATCAATCTAGCATCTATAGGTTGATCAATATGCATGGGCATGGCTATGATTGGAACTCCACATCCAATGCTTTCCATGGTAGAGTTCCATCCGCAATGGCTCACGAACCCTCCAACACTCGGATGTGATAAGATTCTTATTTGTGGGGCCCATCCTTCCACCACTATCCCTCTTTCTCCCACCCTCTCAAGAAATCCATGTGGTAGTGCCGCTTCAAGAAGACTATCACTGTTTTTTAATGTCGTTTCATTTAATGTTTTAGGAAACCTAACAACCCATATAAAGTTCACTTTACTCATCTCTAACCCAATAGCCACTTGATGCATGTCATATTCAGAGAGAAAATATTCACTCCCAAAAGAAACTAACACCGTCGATTTCTCCTCTTTTGTTCCTAACCATTCCATCAACGGTCCAAAACGCCCTTCATCCTGATGCTGCTGCTGAACTAAAGAACCAACTGTGAAGACCTTGGAACCTGCTAATTCACTCACATAATCCACATACTTACTCCCCTCTATTTCTCTGGAAGTACTCAACAAAATAGTGTTTTTGTCCACGGTATCATTGCTGTTGGAATTGCTTCTTCCGTGACTAATCATCTTCTCAAACCTCTCTTTGTCATAAACGCTTAGAGAGATCTCCGGAAAAGGGTACTCCGTGTTCGGCCGGGAAAGCAGGTGGGAGACGTAGGAACATGTGGCCGCAGCTGACGTCACGAATCGGACAGCTGGGACATTGTGTGACTCGGCTACTGCTGCTGGCCATGGCGGCCGAAAATCATAGATCAGCAAGTTTGGTTTCATGGTTCCCACGATGTCGGAGAAAGTGGGCTCGGCCATGGTGAGGGCTTTCTCAAGGGTGGAGTTGAGGTGTAGTGGGAGGCCATTGGTGGTGTGGTAGTGAGGAGGGAGTTCTGGTAATTCTGGTAAATGAAGTTCCACTAGCTGGATTGAAGAGGAGTATTTTTCAGGGATCTTACCTTTGATAAAACTAAGATTGATTGGGGTGGAACAGAAGTGGACAGAAAAGCCTCTGTCAGATAATTTCTTGGCGAGCTCCAAATATGGCGTGATGTGGCCCACAGCCAGCCATGGGAACATCAACACTCTCATGTCATTACCAACATTTGATGAATCCATCACAGTGTATGTATATGAGTTAGTTTATTCGATCTCTCCCTTTAGTTCTTTTGTGGCTAAGGTTGTATGCAATACAATGATATATACTATCGTATATATATTGATTTTATTGATGGATGTATTTATATACCATCAACATTTTCATTAAAAGTATCACTTTTAATTTCACGTCTTGAATTATACATTAACAATAATAAGTAATTGAGGATACTTTTCTTAGTAAATTGGCTACAGTTACCATATATGATCATTTTGTGTTAGGGTAGATTCTATGGTACCCAAAAGGTACCGTACCTTTATCCACATGGACCAATCAGAATGTTGCAGATGAATTATTTAAGTCTAAATTAAAATTGATATACCTATGTGGACCAATCAAGTGAATGGTAGGTACGGTATCCCATTTTTAAATGGGTACCGGAGTTCTCACCTTTTGTATATTTTAATTTCATACAATTTATTTGTTTATTTTTTTAATAAAATATATTTAAAATACAATTTTTTTCATAATTCAACGGATCCAGCCAATTCAATCACTGTACATTTCAACCAGCACTTAATCAATTTTTAGCAAAATCAACCTTTGAGTTAAGAAGGGAGTATACATCGAATATGCAATGACTAGGGGTTGGTTTGCAACTGCTTTTAAAAAAGCACTTCTCAGCTTTTTGCTTTAAAAAGCACTTATTTTCCCAAACACTACAACTTTTATTTTTCTCGGCTTCCGCGTCAAAAGTGCTTTTACTTTTTCTATTACACAAAAAGCACTTATTTTACCAAACACTACACACTTTTACTTTTCAAAATCACTTTTTTCTCAAACACTATCAACTTTTATTTAATCACTTCTCTGCATTTCATTAAAAAAAGCACTTTTTTAAAAGTAGAAGCTGTTGCAAACAGACCCTAAAGTACTTGGGCAAAATGCCAAAATCAACCTATTCAATGCACGTTAAAGGCAATTACGAGGGTAGGTGGTATGTAATACGAGTAATGTTTTGACTTTCTGGTTTCTTGTATAAAGTTCAATGAATCACTTTTGACTTATTTGCCTCACAATACTTGCCAAATTTGATCATGCCTTTACACTTAGGGGCCGTTTGGATGCTCGGGTTTTCCCCCAATCCGCCAAAAAATTACAAAGGGAAACCTTGCTTAATGCAGCGGTTTGGCATCCATCCGTCACTAAACAAACAGACCCTTAATTAGAGTTCATGAGGTCATGGCTGAAGTAAGTACACCATCCCTTTTATTGTTGATTGGTTGTACAGCTTTTTTGAACTCACTAATCCGCATGTTTTGTCTACAACTTTTATAAAAAAAAATGTTTAATTATAAACAAGTTTCATAGACTTTTTGTAAAAAATTATTGATAGACAAAATAATTTGTTCACATACGTATATATAAAGTACGTAGTATGTACAAACAATTTTTTTCTTATTAATTCTATATGAATATTCCACAAAAAGCAATACTCGATTTTCTAGATAAACCAACAAGGTGGAATTGACAACAAAACCGTCTCACACCTTACCCAGAAAAAATGATGGAGTATTACCAGTGGCGTATCCAGGATATTCAGCCAGCGGGGGCAAATTTACATTAACAGTATCACACATATTTAAGAAATAAATATTAATTAAAAATTTGACAGTTGAATATTTGATTAAAAATAAAACAATTTTTTTATAAGAAAGAAATGAAATATGTAATTATATGTTTATAACTAATTTAAGTTACAAATAAACAAGTGTGTTTTAATACTAAGTGCAAAAAGATGTGATTGAAATTATATATAATTTATTAGTTACATTAAAATAAATTATTTTAAAACTAATTTGGATATTAGGTTTAGACATTCTATTGTTTATTTAAATACAAAACCAGAAATATATAAGAAATGGATGAAATATGTAATTACAAGTGATTTAAGTCACAAATTAACATGTTTTAATATTAATCAAGTGTGAAAATATGTTATTGAAATTCCACATAATTTATTAGCTACATTAAAAAAATTAATTTGAATTTTATATTTGGATAAACTTAATTTAAACAGTTTCAAGAAAGCATAAAAATAAAACAAAGTGGAGTTGCCAAGGGGATGTGAACCCTTGACACTTTGGAAGTGTGCGTACTACTACTCCATCCGCTTGGCTGCTGCATTAGCTTGGTCTAGAATGTTTTAATGGATACTTATACTATGTATAATACAATGATATATGTATACAAATAAAATTTGAAATATATATAATGGGGTTGGGTGGGGTTGAGTGGGGGCAGCTGCCCCCCTGCCCCCATAGTAGATACGCCCCTGAGTATTACAGTATGTTCTCAAACAATTTCTGAGTGATGTGGTAGATTGTCATTGGTAGAAATTGAAGTTGAGCACTTAACCCATCTACCTCAAAGGCTCAATTAGGCATCATTGAGCTAGCCGGTGAATTTTCTAGATTAGAGACTAGGGGTGAGCGAATAGATAGTAAAAATGTTGCTGTGGTCGGGTAATGTAGGTTCAAGGAGGTTAGGTATGGGTACTAATGTTAGAAAAAACAAACAAAGCGGGGCAGGGCGTCTTCAAATTTGAAAAAATGGGTATCTGGACCGATCCATTAGTATTATATTAATAAACTCTCTGTTGAGGTATATTACCCCGGTCCGTTACTGTTCAGGAGCCCAAGGCATCGCCCCAGCTTGGAGCCCGAATGACAAGGTCCATTTCAGCCTATTAGGCATGTTTCGGCCCTTTGGGCCCATTTTGGGCTTACTTGGCCCATTAGGTTAGGTTTCCCCCTTTCCCTTACCCCTATAAATATGGGGCTTTCCCACATGTTTAGGGATCTTTTTCTTCCTTCTTCCTTCTTCATTTAGAATAGCTTACAAGACTCCATTAATGGGAGCTTCAATACTTGTACTATGTAATGGTGAGGAGAGACTAATGAGAATGAGAGGGCTTGGACATTAGCCTAAAAAGTCCCGTGGTTTTCTCCCTTTCGGGTTTCCACGGAAAAAACTGAGTGTTCATACATATATTTACTATATCGTGTTGGATTAAACTCAACACTCTCATATATTTAACTTAATATATTAACAAGACACGAAGGGCCTATTTACCAATAAAGATATTTTCCAGTTTTTTTTTTCATTTTCAAATTTTCTATTTTCATTTTCCAATTTTTCTATCTCAAATTTTCCGTTTTCATTTTCTAGTTTTCCATTTTCAAATTTGAAAACATGCATGTTCATCAAAGTTTTTCACCCGGTTCTGTGACCGACTAGACAAATGAAAGTACGATCCCGTTCCGGAACCGAACCTAGTACAACCCAAATACGATACCCGGTCCCGCATAAAGAAGTGCCGAGCCAAAACCTACCGGTTCGGGTCAATCCCAATGACTAGTTTGACTAATTCTTTTCCCTTTTCCCTATTGGTTGGTAACTCAATGGATTTTTTTGAAACACTTCACTTCAAAAAATGATTTTAAAAAATGGGGACCGAACGACGAGTCGTTGACTGGAACGGACGAGACCATCAGGTCATTGACCGGATCGGGCAGGGACTGCCGAGTCGATGACCGGACCGGACCGGATCAGACCGGAACTACTAATGCGTCAACTGGATCGGACAGGTACAACGTGGTCATTAGTTGGACCGGACAGGGACTGCCGAGTCATTGACTGGACCTAATAGGGACCGCCAGATCATTGACCCAACCGGACAAGGACCTCCGAGTCGTTGACCTGATCGAACAGGGATCGTTATGTTGTCGACCGGACTAGGACTGCCCGACCATCGATCGGAGCAGAACTGCCCCACCATCGAACGGACATGACTGCCCGGCCTTCGATCTAAGCGGGCAGGTACCGTCGGGTCATCGACTAGATCAGGCAGGTATTTTCGAGTCGTTGACCAGACCAGGCAAGGATCGTCGGATCATTGACCGGATTAGACAAGGACCGCCAAGTCATTGACCCGACAAGACTTCCAAGTCATTTACCCGAGAATATGTGCTAAGAAGACGAGAGGCCCTTCCCGACATTGAATATTTCAAACCGAACTAAATCAAGCAGTCAGCTTTTTACCAAACAGCTATCACCTTTTCTTTTTAAGATCTTTTCGGTCACTAAAAGCTAACAGTAATTAAAAAGCTTACAAAAGTATCTATCAATCTTATCGATCAACCTTTTCACTAAAACCATCAATTTTAATTTCATGCCTTGATTATACCATAACAATAATAAGTAATTGAGCATACTTTTCTTAGTAAATTGGCTACACTTACGATATATGATCATTTTGTATATTTTAATTTCATACAATTTATTTCTTTATTTTATCAATAAAATATATTAAATACAATTATTTCATAAATTCAACGGATCCAGCCAATTCAATCACTATACGTTTCAACCACCACTTAATCAATTTTTAGCAAAATCAACCTATTCAAATATTGGTATCAAATTATATAAGCTTCAAACAAGAAGTTTAACTTGAACGGAGTTGCAAATACAAATGTATACATTGAAAATACAAAAATGCTTGAGGTACACACTTTGTGTACACACTTTGTGTACACACTTTGTGTACACTCGTCTGTCTCTTAAGAAAATTTTGTCTGTCACAGACAACTCATATATGTCTGTCACAGACAACTCATATATGAGTTGTCTGTGACAGACAAAATTTTCTTAAGAGACAGACGAGTGTACACAAAGTGTGTACACAAACTGTGTACACAAAGTGTGTACCTCAAGCATTTCTCTTGAAAATATGCAATGGCTACAAAGTACTTGGCAAAATGCCAAAATCAACCTATTCAATGCACGTTGAAGGCAATTACGAATTTACGAGGGTCGGTGGTATGTAATACTTCGTACGAGTAATGTTTTGACTTTCTGGTTTGTTGTCTAAAGTTCAATGGATCACTTTTGACTTGTTTGCCTCACAATACTTGCGAAATTTGATCATGCCTTTACACTTAATTAGAGTTGATGAGTGAAGTTAGGGGTGCAAACTAGCAGAGCCCCACTTTATGTAGGCTCGAGCTCGAGCTCGAATTATATTGTATTGGTTTGAGCTCGAGCTCGGCTCGAACGAGCTTAAAAAATTTGGGCTCGAGCTTGACTCGCAAATATTGATTCGGCTCGATTTGGCTCGACTCGGC